TCGCAATAACAGAATCAAGCAAAGGAAAGTTTGCAAAATTTCCCCTTTTCTACTCGACGTATCCAAATTTCTAATTTTGCGATAAATGAAGATAATTTTTCACTAGATATTATAATATTTATACCAAATCCTTGCACTGATAGATTCAATTCATTTAAATGGCTAAATATGTCTGCTAAGTAGGCCAGCCTCAGCATTGCATCATTACTCTCAAAATCTTTTACTAAATAACAGTTCTTACTAGTCAGTAATTGAATAAATTTCCTTATGCAATTCAAAAACTCTGTTAAGCATGCGACCCTTAGATAACCATCGTATTTCGGTGTGATATAGGAGCATGGTATGATCAGCACCGATTTCTTCGCAAAATGCACGAAAAATGCGATGATTAAGCGCTCGCCCTCGGATGTATTTTACTACATTTACTGCTGTAGTTAGATGTTGTTTTAAACTTTTTGGCAATGCTTTCGACGCAAGTGCATGACGATGCAACATGCAATGCGTTATTATAACTTCCGGTAATTCTCTTTTCATGTGTGAAAAAAATCCTGAATTTTTGCCTAACATTGCTGGGGCTCCATCAGTGCATATTGAGCCAATCACATTTATTGGTAATTGATATTTAGTAAAAAAATCTTTGATGCGATTGAAAATATAAATTCCTCTCGTATTCACCTCCAGTGGCTCACAAAATAAAAATTCTTCTATCACCTCTTTTTCCTTTCACATACCTGACAAATACCAAAAGTTGGCTACAATTATCAACATCAGTTGACTCATCCAGTTGCATGCTTATTTTTAGTGGACTTGATTTTTATGTCTTCAATTACTTGCATTAAAATATCTTCACTGAGATCTTGTATTCGCGATCGTATAATATCATTCGATAATGGAATCTGTTGGATTTTTTTATGTGCTTCCGAATCTAAAACTGTTTTAGCAATAATTAAAGCAGAAGGTTTAATCAACTCTTCAGCGATCGTGTGAGGTTTCTTTTTCTTTTTTTTTTTTTTTTTTTTTTTGCATATAATATGCCACTTGATATTGACGCTTCTAATAAAGGTTTTTGAATTGCTGGTCCGCACAATTTTAGGATAGTTCCACTGGTATCAAACCGAGCCTTCTTTGACTTCAAGCTGTTCATGCTATGCGCTTTTTCGCCACCATGCAGATTGTTGAAATGCTCTAATAATAAAAATATATACCATGCAGATTGTTGAAATGCTTAATAATAAATATATATTTGGTTTGAGATTGCTGTTTGAAAATATCTTGGAACACAAGATGCATTGCAGGTCGTTGCGTGCCATCTTTTTCGGTTGTGCAGGTAAATCCATAACCCGGCATACTTATCATTCCATTGTCATTTTTTTGACATAGTGGGTTCACTATAATCGATTTAATTATTTAGAAATAAATGTAATATAATATATATGATGTTCTTACGTTTGTAATATCACTGAATCCTATTTGGCTTGAACGGGCAATTAAGAATGTATTAGTCTCAAGAGGTTTCTGGACAAATCAGAATACACAATACACATGTTCGCAGACACAATAGTTGACTCAACTTGACTCAACATAACACAGGCGGATTAGATGCAGATACAAATCTGTGAATCTATAGATTGCATTGGAGTAGCACATATTGAACTCGGCACATGCGCAAGCTGGGATAACATTCTCCGCTTCTATTCCCACAAAGTTTTTTTTTCTTTTCTTTTCTCCGTCACCTAGCTGCCTGTTCGCGTTCGTTTGTAGCAACGTTTCATGCCTTTCGTAGCGTAGTGTATACGCCCATCGGCACCGGCTCTTTCCTGTGTCTTTTGCCGACAAGTGAGCTAGGTGCTACCAATTTTTATGAGCTTCAGTATTTGGGACACTATTGCAGATTTCAAATATTTTATTATAAGAAATTTAATAAATGATATTTAATAATTTTTATGGTTAGGTAGGGGTTTTCCCACACCTCCAAAAATACACCCCCCCCGCTGGTTAAGAACCACTGCTCCAAGATATAAATGGTTGCAAATTAAAGAGGCAGTAGCCTTTATAAAGATACACATGTTGTCATGTTACAAAAAATAGAATGTAAGGGAAAAATTTATTTTCGTTATTCTAATTTGAATCTATTACTCTACCAAATAAACATTTGGGAAAGAAATGCTGCATTGGAATGTTAAATTCTTAAATATAAGTTTCAGTCTTTTAAATACTGCAACAAAACAAACTGATAAGAATAAAAAAGTTCCATTCCTTAAAAGGTGAATCAGGAGCATAGCTCCAAATTCATAAGAATGTATCACTACTTCCTCTTTCCTTTAATAGTAAAAATTTCCATCACAGCATCAGCTCCGTCTGACAGCTTGGTCAAAAACCTTGAATGGAATCAGGGAGCCCATTCAAATTCTTTGACTTGGTAGTAATAAACACCTTGTAGTTTTTTAAAATATCTTTCTTGTGTATCGTGGTTCTCCAATAAGTAGATGTTGCACCTATGCATGATGTTTGTTTCGAATAAGGAGAAAGATAAAAAGAACAGTTATATAAGAGTGTTTTCTGCTGTTCTAACATGGATAGGGTCCTAACATCCTAAACATGAGTGATATTAATGTTTATAATTTTTTTTAGTTAAAACTTGCCGAAATTATGGAAAATACTGCAAAAAATACAAAAAGTTTCAGCTGAAGATATTCCTAAATTTCCTTATACTCAATTTTCATATAAATGGAAGTTCTCTATAACCATGTAAAATAATGGTACTTTCCCGTTTTGCCGGCGCAAATCTCAGCAAGCAGGCTTTATTGGCGACAACATACAGTATGCACATAAAAAATTTTAACAAATGTTAGGTCTAAGAATTTTTTATTTTAAAGGCATAAACATTTTAATATCGTTTAACATTTTTTAAAAATCCAATAAATAAAGATGATAAATTTGTAAAAAGACATTAATTTAAGAATTCACTATGCTTTCATGGTTCAAAATCCTGATTCGCCGGTTCATATCACGTGACCCCAAGTGATCTCATCTCATAAACTATGCTACAAAATCTAATTCTCTCAGTAATTATCTACATTATTTCAAGTTGAATCTTAATTTGGAATAAAGTTTAAATGCAAGATTATTCAGTTCATACGATAGCTTCTCAGAAATGTAAACCGCAGTGTTTTACTTCGCTAGTGCATTCTCATTAGAATTGATGAATTTAACCCTTGACTTTGCCTTTTCTATAATTTTGGCTTCGGGTTAGTGATGTGATTGCATTCTAATTTACTTAATTACCGCGAATGGCATAAAATTGAACTATCTGGTAAAAATTCTATGCAATTGTATGCCAGTATTGAAAGAAAGTTGCGACTTGTTTTGAAAATGAGGCGTAAAAGGTTACCATCGAAAATATTCCTTTTGGCATCAGTTGTACCATTATTAGCGACTTTATCGCCTGCGCCGGCAAAACGGAAAAGTACCAAAATAATATTAAATGTAAAAGAAACTGGGCAAGATCAAAATGCTTATACATTATAAAGTGGATTTAGTATGGTGAAATTAGCCTGTATCAGCTTTATAAAAATTAACGAGCTATTTTTCCTTATTCAGGTTCATATAATTTACTGTTACTAATTAGATTTTTCTGTGTGTATAATGTATAGCATTTTTATTTCTTAATTTTTAAATAATTACAGTCAAAAGTTTTTAATCCGGACTCGTCGAGACGGCATTTCCGGATTATCGTTTTTTCCGCATAATAGATCATCAATTTAAATCTGGTAAGATGGCATGCAGAAATTATAAAATTAAAAGTATGAAGCCATAATTTATAATAAAGAGCAATTATGATCTAAAGGGTTTCTTTACAAAAAAAAAGCTTAATATTTATTAAAAAAACATTTCTTTCAACGGGCGCACGCGTAAAGCATACATTACGCATAGTCGAAATTAGAAAATTACAACCAGAAAACTATTTGATGTGTATTCGTGATATTTATAATGACGAGGAATTTGATTTAAATGATATAAAAAATGGAGTGCATCGAGATGAAATACTACATTCAGTAAGGAATTATAAGCTGAATAAAATAAAAACATCCGCCCTGAAGATAAGGATGGTGCTGACAGATCAACCTCCAGTACACTGCGCGCCACAACATCCCCCCCCTCCCGCGTAGAGTAGCGTGAAATTCATAAACAGATTTCGGAACGGTTAGAGAAAGAAATGACCCTTTATCCATTTTTTGCAGCAATTCCACTTTTTGTTTGATGGACATCAAAACATGCTTTCGCTTTGTAGATCCTTCGGCAGCTCCAGAATCGGAAATTCTTTTTGACATAATCGAAAGTTCAAGCTTACTGTTATAAAATAGCTCTAACAGTCTGCTAAAAATAATAAGCCGGATCCAATTCGAAGATTAAGGAACAACGCAATCTGCAACATTAACTGAAATAGATAATTAGATAATTTTATCTTAGCTTATACAGTCTGTTATACATTAAACGTGCATGCGTAAACGTATTATGCGCATGCGTAAACGCATTAAAGTTTGTAGCTATGAGGTCCGGATTATAGATCATTCCGGATAATGGACGTCCAGATTAAAGACTTTTGACTGTATATGTAATTATGAAGTTCATTTAAGTATTTTCTTTTTGTTGTTAATTGTTTAAGGATTTTTATTTATATCCACATGCTTATCAATTGTATACATGGATTTTTTTCATGTATTTAAAGCTAAGAAAATGCTTTTATGTTTACTTTTTTTAATTTTATTTATTATTATTATTATTTGCGTATTTTATGGCTCTAATTCAAAGTAATATTTTCAATTCAGAAATAAGGAACGACTGTATTAGACAGTTCTTTAATTCTCAAAGTAATGTTGTGTTATTAGTGAATTATTTTTATTAGTATATTAATAAGTTATTTAAATATTATTAAGTGAGTATATCTGTTTAAATTGTATTTTTTTAACATATATATTTTTTCCCTTCTCTCACAACAGTTCCTGGCTAGTAGCATCAACACTGAAAATTCGAAATGAGAATCACATTAGTTTTTATTTTCTTAAGTACCTTTTAGAAATTTTGATGATTAATGTCTCTGAAAATTCACTTGAAACGTATCTAGAAGAAGCCCTTTATAACAGCATTCATAAGGTTTTTGAATATGCTTTAGATATGTTACGAAAATTGCATGAAAATTTTCAGATACAAAATGTGCAGATGCAAGATGATTTCTTTTGCATGCTAAAGTAAGTATTTAAAATATATTTTCTAACTAAAAAGCATTTATAACACATTATTTTTGTTTACACCTCTCTGTACACTTTCTACTTGCAGTTTATTATTACTGTATTTCTTAGGTGTATATATATGATATGTGCAGAAATGGAAACACATTATCAGAAGCCTGATTTGTACAAGATTGTTGAAGTATGATTTGAATAAATTAAGCTTTTGGTTATTTCTTATAATGAAAATTTGATATTTCAATTAATACAGTCAAAAGTCGTTAATTCGGACACCCATAATCCGGAATGATCTATAATCCGAACCTCAAAGCTAAAAACTTTCTGCGCATGCGCCGCGTTGACACATGCGCATAGGCGTTTATGCTTGCGCGTAAGACCTCTTATGACTGCGCATTTGCGTGTGCGCAAGTGCAGAATACGTTTTCGCGTGCGCGTTTTATGTATAACGGACGGTATAAGTTAAAATTATCTAATTATCTATTTCAGTTAATGTTGCATGACTGCGTTGTTCCTTAATCTTCGAATTGGAATCCGGGTTATTATTTTTTGCAGACTGCAAGAGCAATTTTATAAAAAGTACGCTTGAACTTTCGATTATGTCAGAAAGAGTTTCCGATTCTGGAGCTGCCGAAAGGATCTACAAAGTGAAAGCATATTCCGATGTCCATGAAACAAAATGTGGGAATTGCTGCAAAAAATGGATAAAAGCATGAAGAAAATGACAGAGAAGTTAGTGAAAATGAAAAATTTCGATTGATAAGTTAGTCGGTATTCTCGGCACAGCAATTAACGGGAGGAACAGCGGAACTTTGTAACTGAGCAAGAAATTATATCTGTTTATAGAATTAAAGAGAAAGTATTTACACTTAAACGAAGCAACTTAAACAACTTACATTGAAAGAAATGTTAATAAAGTAAACAATAAACATTAAGCTTTTTCTTTTTTTGTAAATTTTGATACCCTTTAGATCATAATTGTTCTTTATTTCATAAATTACGGTTTCATATTTTTAATTTTGTAATTTCTGCATGCCATCTTACCAGATTTAAACTGATGATCTATAATCCGGAAAAATCGATAATCGGGAATCGAAGTCCCGACGAGTCTGGATTAACAACGTTTGACTGTAGTGGAATTTAAATCTCTTAAATACAGTCAAAAGTCTTTAATCCGGAAGTCCACAATCCAGAATGATCTATAATCCGGACCTCAAAGCTACAAACTTTCTGCGCATGCGACGCGTTGACGCATGCGCGTAAGACTTTTACGGCTGCGAATAAGCGTGTTCGCATGCGCGTAATATGTTTACGCTTGCATGTTTAATGTATAATGGACGGTAAAAGCTAAGCTAAAATTATCTAATTCAGTTAATGTTGCAGATTGCGTTGTTCCTGAATCTTCGAATTGGATCAAGCTTATTATTTTTTGCAGGCTGTTAGAGCAGTTTTATAAAAGTAAGCTTGAACTTTCGATTATGTCAAATAGAATTTCCGATATGTATTTACTAATATGTAAAGGATCTGCAAAGTGAAAGTATGTTTAGAAGTCCATTAAAAAAAGTGGAATTGCTGCAAAAAATGGATAAGGCATATCCTTCATTTCTGAAACCATTCCGAAATCTGTTTATCAATTTCACGCTGCTCTGCGGCCTGGGGGGGAAAGCCGAAACACAGCGGCGCGCAATGAATTGGAAGTTAATCTGTCAGCACTATCCTTATCTTCAGTGCAGATGTTTTTATTTTTTTTCTCTTATAATTCCTTACTAAATGTAGTATTTCATCTCGATGTACTCCGTCTTTGATATGATTAAATCAAATTCCTCATCATTATAATTCGCTTCCAATAAAGAAGAAAGTGATACAAAGGTTATTGAAAACGAAAAATTTCGATTGACAAATTAGTCGGTATTCTCGACACAGCAATTATAGGATTTGAACAGCGGAACTTTGTAACTGAAGAAGAAATTATGTCTGTTTATAGAATTAAAGAGAAAGTATTATCACATAAAACGAGGCAACTTAAACAACTTACATTGAAAGAAATGTTTAATAAAGTAAACAAATAAATATTAAGTTTTTTTTTTTTTTTTTCTCTTTTGTAAATTTTGATACCCTTTAGATCATAATTGTTCTTTATTTCATAAATTACGGTTTCATATTTTTTATTTTGTAATTTCTGCATGCCATCTTACCAGATTTATACTGATGATCGATAATCCGGAAAAATCGATAATCCGGAATTGCCAAAGTCCCGACGAGTCTGGATTAATGACTTTTGACTGTATAGATATTGTTATTAATTGTGTTGCTGAAAGTTATATTTGTTCAAAATGATTAATTTTATAAAGACACTTGAAAAATCCATACATATTTGAATGAGTATTATTAAATTATGTTAAGTATCAGAACTGAAAAATCTAAAGATACGGGAAATTTTATGAAAAATTCAAACTGGAATTTTTATCTCGAAAAACCTTTTTGCTTTCTTATTTAATTTAATAGAATATAATACATCCTTAAAATTAGAATGAATCTGGTTATCTTAAAAATCTTAGTTATACTTCTGTAAATAATAATGAAGTCAAATCTAGTCAATTAACCTTTTGCATAGTAAAATTATTTACATTATGGGATATATATACACGATCTTTGTATACTTAATTTTTCTAAATATTTTAGTGTCTTTTTTAATTCTTGATGAATTCTAATAATCTGTGAATGTCTGTAACCTGCACTCATTTCTGAATGTAAAACTAATGAAATTTTGATTCTTAAAATACTTGGCATGGAAAATTTACTAGCAGTTTTATTATTGCACATGTATGCAAAGAAATATTGGTACTTTTCCAAACGGAATTTCCTCACTGGTAACCTTTTATGCCTCAATTTCTTATCAGATTGATTGTTTCTTTCAATACTGGCAAACAATTACATAGAATTTTTACCAGATAGTTCAATTTTATGCCATTCGTGGTAATTAGTAATTAGGAGCAATCCCACACTTACCGAAGCGAAAATTAGAAAAGTCAAAGTCAAGGGTAAATTTCATCATTCTATAGAACGCACTCGCGAAGTAAAACACTGCGGTTTCAATAATTTTGAGTAGTATTGTCGAATGAAATAATTCTTGCATTTAAACTTTTTCCAATTAGATTAACTTGAAATTAAGTAGATAATTACTGAGAGAATAGATTTTTGTAGCGTAGTTTACGTGAGATGAGATCAGTGGGGGGGGTGTATATTAACGTCGAATATATTAGTACCATAAAAACTAATAATTCTTAAATTAATGTCTTTTTAAAATTTAAATTATATAAAATGTTTATGCTAAAAAAAAAAATTTCTTCGAACTAACATTTGTTAACATTTTTTATGTGTATACTTTGTCACCAATAAAGCCTGCTTGGCGAGATTTGCGCCGGCGAAACGGAAAAGTACCGAAATATTTTATAGTATTTATAAGTTATTCATTATATTTATAGTATGTTTTATAATATATATTAACAAAAATACTGTTAACTTAATACATATTTTGAATAAAGAAGCAAATTTGTGCTATATTAAATTTATATTGAATTTTTTACATGTATATCAGTACTGTTGTTTTAAAGAGGAGAAGGAAATTGTGAATAACTGATAATTTTTCCATTTTGGATAAATCCCTACTTTCGGTTCAAAAATTCCTACTTATTATGCTGTTTTCAAGTTTACATGATTAACATGTGTAAAAAATTTATTTATTCTCTACTTTACAGACAACTTAAATGCATCTTTTAGCTGGTGTACACTGAGCACCCTTATTAACATGGGCCATTAATGGGGTTGTTTTTAAAAATAGCACCCTTAAAGATGCTTTTGGGTTAAATATGGAAACATAATAATAAAAAGAGGTTCAGAGCAGAGAAGTTTTTCTCTCCATAAGTCTAAAACTTCATTTCCTGTTTTCTGTATAAACTCCTCATGATATTAATCTGATTATATGTGCAGTCAAACATACATATGTAAACAAATAAAATCAAAATTTCATTTGTTTTACATTAAAAAATGAGTGCACATCCTCATGGAAAGTTAGCAAAGAAATTCAATTTAAGAAAACTTAACTATTGTATTTTATAAAGAATGTATTTATTTATTTATTCTCTTGTTTAACCACAAAAAAATTAGTAATTTCACAGTGGATATACAGCTTCTTTATAGCCCAGGAGGGCTATTAATTTCATTTTGTCATTTTGCATTGGTTCACTAGAAAAGTCCGAATCATTTTTCAAATTGTTGCAACCAAATATTAGAGCCCTGCATTATATTTAAAGAAATTAAGTAATGAAGAATCAGCATGAATGTATATATGTTTCTCGCATAGTGAAAAAACCATGGTACCTAGCAACATCAAAATTTGCATAACTTAGTCCTCCACTCAAATATGGACATCTGGAAGTACAAATTTTCAATTTGTTTTATTATTTATTTCATATTTTGTAAAGTGTTAATGAATTGTTTATTAACAAACTCAACGATTTCAAAACATTCTATTAACATTAACATCACCTGCATCTTCAAACACAGATATTTTATCCGTGAGTTTTTTTTTTTTTTTTTTTTTTTTGTGATATTGCTGTTGAATTGAAGTTTATGGTTTAAGTGCGAAGAACATGAGATTTAATAAATAAAGATAACACACAAAATGTTAGAAAAACGTCCCTTTGGACATAATATAAAATCTGAAAGCTTTATAATTTTTTCTAAATAAAATACTATTGCAAGATATGGTTTCTTTCTACATTTTTAAATAATCGCTCTAGATAAGTAGGATGAAAATAAATAGCAATTTATTATAAATAATAATGTCATACAGCAAAATAAAATAGCTTATAGTTAACTCAAAGAGAATACAGAGTAATTCCTCTCTAACACTAAAAAAAATATTAGTAAGTTCCAAAACCAATTACAGGGAGAATTCTAAAATGCAATTCAGATAATTCTCTTTTAATCGCTAACTCTTGCAACTGAATACAGTCAAAAGTCTTTAATCCGGACATCCATAATCCGGAATGATCTATAATCCAGACCTCAAAGCTACAAACTTTCTGCGCATGCATAGAGTTTACGCATGTGCATAATACCTTTACGCATGCATGTTTAATGTATAACAAACAGTATAAGCTAGGCTAAAATTATCTATTTATATATTTCAGTTAATGTTGCAGAT